TTTTTTTTTTTTTTTTTTCGCTACTTATAAAGAACTGTCTGCACTAATGAAAGACGTGATAACTGTGATACCAACAATTTCCACTCAATAAGCCAAAAATAACAACAATTTCCACCCGATTAAAAAAAAATATATATATATTAAAATCCTTAAATTCGATATTCAAAAACCAATTTAATTATCCAATTGCAAAATTCGATGATCCAGTCACTCACCTGCTGGCTGGTATGCGTTCCCCTGCTCCTCGGCACACTGGTCCTCGCCGGAACCATAGCCTACCAATCCCGATCGCTCTCCTCCTTCCTCCCCCTGCACCCCAACGCCGCCGCGCCCTGCGGCGGCGCCCGATCGCCGCCCCTCCGCGTCTACATGTACGATCTGCCCCCGCGCTTCAACGTCCGGATGCTGGATCCGTCCTTTCCCGACGGGACGCCGGTGGCGCCGGAAAATTTCCCGGCGTGGAGGTGGAATGACCGGCTTCTCCGGCAGCACAGCATGGAGTACTGGTTGATGGCCTCCCTTGTGTACGATGGTGAAGATCACATGCCCGGGTCGACCCGTGTGGCAGTTCGGGTCTCGGATCCGGACTCTGCTGACGTGTTCTTCGTGCCGTTTTTCTCGTCGTTAAGTTTCAATTTCTACGCTTGGAATAAGAAGGAACCTAATGGAGTTGATGAGCAGCTGCAGGTGTTCATTATTTTTGGGATATTTGAGTGTTAACTTATAATCACTTGGTTCACTTTACACGAAATCTTGCCGGAGACTCATTATACTTTTTTCTTTAACGGAATTGCATACCTATGCCATGAAATGTCATACTAGTATTCACTTATTTGATGTTGCAGAAGTTCTTGTTTATGTTGTTTTGTTAGAGTACGAACATTTCAATTCCAAAGTACGTAGATCTGAATAAGTATGATTGTATAACCATTAAGTTTGATTGCCTAATTATAAGGTGTGGCTAACACAACTATGTATATGTGTTGAATAAGTATGACTACATAACTATTGAGTTTGGTTGCGTAATTATTAGTGTCATGTTTGGTAAGCCAGGATAAGCTTGATGGTAGTTGATGATTTTCGAGCTTATAGCTTATAACTTATGATTTATAGCTGGAAAACTAGCTTATATATGATAAAAGTGTTCGGTAAAAATTAGATGATAAGCTAGCAGAAATAATATTTCAACGAGCTTATTTGAAAAGCTACCGAGAAAAGAGCTTTTTAAAAAAGTTTGTGCTACCAAACGGAGCTTATTTGAATACATGAATCTTATAAGCTAACCAAATAAGCTCTAAGCTAGCTTATTTGGCTACGAAACATAGTCTAGGTCTGGCTAACGACACTCTTACTGTCGATGTTGTTATGTATGTATAAATGGTTGATTTGCTTGCGATACATATGTCCTTTTTTGTGCTCTTTCTAATAACAATTTGTTTCTTCACAATTGTAGCTTGATCTGCTCAACATTCTAAGAGCATCAACCTATTGGAAAAGATCGGGTGGGCGGGACCACGTGATCCCCCTTCACCATCCCAACGCCTTCAAACACTATCGTGATCGAGTTAATTCATCCATATTCATCGTTGCGGATTTCGGGCGCATACTTAAAATTTCTAGGCTGGCAAAAGACGTTGTTGCCCCTTACCCTCACATGGTAGATTCATACATGAATGATGAGCCTGAGGACGCGTTTGAGTCGCGCGAGACTCTTTTGTTCTTCCGTGGCGGGACTAAGAGGAAAGACGTAAAGTTCATTCAGACGAGTTTATATGCTTGTGTTGGACTTCAATTTAAATGAAGCAGTTGATATAATTTCGATGTATAAATGTTTGTAACAGGAGGGAAAAATTCGTGTCCAACTTCATAAGATTTTAAACGGGACGAACGATGTCATATATGAAGAGGGACATGCATCTAAGGAAAGCTTCAAAGCTGTAAGTAATTTTTGTAACTCTATGTGAAACTGCTTAATAGTTAGACGCAATAATGCATACTTATTCTGTAAAAAATGTTAATTATTTATCTGTACCAGTCGGCCGAACGAATGCAATCATCCAAGTTTTGCCTCCACCCGGCCGGGGACACGCCATCATCTTGCCGACTATTCGACGCGATCGTGAGCCACTGTGTCCCGGTTATCGTGAGCGACAAAATCGAGCTACCGTTTGAAAACGAGATGGATTACTCGGAGTTCTCGATTTTCTTCTCTGCTAACGAGGCACTTAAACCAGGTTATATGGTCAGTGAACTAAGGAAGATTTCGAAGGAGAAATGGATGAAAATGTGGCTGAAGCTCAAAAGCATTTCTCATCACTTTGAGTTCAATTACCCTCCAACCGAAGGGGATGCTGTTAATATGATTTGGAGACAGGTTAAGCAGAAGGTACCTTCGGTTAAGCTTGCTGTACATCGGAGTACAAGGCTGAAAATTCCAGATTGGTGGAGGAGATGAGTTCATGGGATGTAATTTATTGTGTACTATAATTACTCAACCACGGCCTTTAATATTTCAGTTAAAATATAGTGTTTCATTTCAAAGATAATTATATCAAATTACTTGATTTAACTGTAAAGAACACAGATAAAATTATTGATCTTTGTTTAGAAATCAATTATAGCAGCTTGTTTTGTAAAGAATAATTTATAGTATATTCTAAATTCATACAAATTTATGAATCGTGATATGAATAATACAAAATAATAAAATTATATTGGAACAATCTATATTTTGTAATGCAATAATTTGAAAGTATCAAATGATAATAATAAAATTGGTTCTCGAGCAGGAATCAGGTCCTCTACACCCGTAGCTATCACATTGCATTGTTTTATTTTGAATTCTCTCTAGCCGGTCGAAAACGTCGATCTTTTATATATTTTTGCGTCTTGATCTAAAATTAACTAAATATATAAACTCTTTTGATAAACAATCAAACTAACAAATTTTAATTAGTTAATCATTTAAATGAGTTTCAATTCTCTATCAACCAAAACAAGTCATTATAATCTTTTTTCAACGAGAACTTTGACATTTTTTGCATATTATTGAAAAAAAAAATAAGAAAATGTCACGAAAAGCTTAAGAAATTTATTAATACAAAACTTTGAATTGAATAAATCACCCCACATATATGCAATTATGTATAGAGGACACATGTGATAATTTGATATGTTGAAATATTGAATCAAAAGATATATGGTAATTATATACGTATTTTACAAAGTATCAAGTCACAGAATGGTAATATGGTACAAAGCTAGCTAGCTGTCTGCCTGTCCAAGAAACCGACAAAACACAACCCAACCTTACAAATTCCGAATTGCAACAAGGAAAATAATAATATTATTAATAATAATAAATAAATAAATTGGACCGGTCAGCAATCATAAGATATGACTGCATTAATTAACTACCCTCAGCTTCTACTATAAAAAATATAATATAACCCAACAAAAAGGATGGAATTTTTTACCAGAAAATTGAAAAAAAAAAATTAAGGTGTGGAAAAAAAATACACAAATAAAGTGAGAATGGACCGAAATAAAAACCTCGTATTTAATGAATACGTTTTACTATTTTTTTAATTGTAAACGTATTCACTGAATATGTTTTCTTTTGTAAAGAAATCTGAAAAAACGTATTTAAGGAATACATTTTCTACACAAATTGGATGGAAAACGTATTCCTTAAATACATGCTTTTTATTGTTGTCCACTACCTTTTTTTTTCTTTTTTTTTTCCACATGTTTTTTTTTATTTTTTTTTAATATATAAATTGCTCCAAAAAGATGGGCCAAACAATAAGATCTTACTTACACACACACACATGAACTACTTGCTGTTTTTTAGATTCATATTTTGTTCTGTTTGATATTTATCCTTGGAAAATGAAAGAGAAATTCTCATGCACAATTCTCAATAGTGAAGCCCTCACCAATTAAGGTACGTACGCTATACAACATATACATACATACACACACAGCTATGAAATGTTAATAAATACTACTACATATTATACTCCCTCCTATTCATAATAAGTGTCGTTTTGAAAAGTTGCACACTTATTAAGAATATTTTTTTTGCCAATAATAACTCTAATTAATGAGGATAGAGATGAATGTTTTGAGAAAAGATGAAGAGTGAATATGAAAAGACGTAGTATATTTATTAGCTAGATGAGGGTGTAAGAATATGTGGCCCGAAAGCATTAGGCTCACATTTAATTATCCTATTGGGCCAGACCTTATTTAATAGTCAAACAAATCTAAGCCATTAATCTGGATATTTGATGGACGTACCAGATCTAAAGACACCCCTATATAAATTAGTCCTCTCTCCTCCTATTAGGGTACGCAGTATTTTTCCCATCACTTTTCTGCTACATTAAGAGAAGGTCAGGAGGGAGAAACTGATTTAGATCTAACACTTAATTCAACCTCGATTGTAAAAATCGCTCAAGCATGAACGCATATTAATTCATGAATGTTATGATTGTTCCTTTCGTGAGATTCGCATCAGTTATTCCCCGATGTTTGCATTTGCTGTTTACGTTTATGGCATCTTATGCTTCTACGAATATAATTTCATGGCCATTTGATTGGTCACTTGAACATGGCAGAAAGAGGGTTTATTTTTCTTTTTGTTGATTTGATGATGAGGCTTGCTTGGATATATTATGGCATTAAAAAAAAATAAAAAATAAAAAAAAAAGAAGGCCCTTATGAATTTTGGACTAATCATGTGGGCTGTGGCAATATACTTCCAGTCAGACATTGGAAATTTCGATCCATGTCTGTTTAATTATTTTGTTAGGCTGTAAATAATTGCTATGATGATGAGGCAGTCAATTTCCCATAAAGCTTTGGTTAGGTGATTTTTGCCATGGCTCACGAAATTATGTTTCATATTTGAGTATGGTTTAATGGCATCTAATCTGGGAACAAATATGTTGTGCCTAATTGAAATTTATGTATTTTGGATGATGATGATTGAGTTGACAAACTCACATATGTTTATAAGGGTTAGTTTGTTAATATTATGATTATAATTATGATTATTAAATTATATGACATTAAGGCAAAATTAATTAGTTAGTCACCAAAGTGGCCTAATTAAT